AATACTTCATTTTATATTAGGTTCACATATAATAAAATGTAGAAATAAAAAAGTTGGTAAATACTGTTTGTAGTACACATAATACACATAAATATATTATTAAGCATAAATATAATTATTATTGACTTAGATTGATTTTTTATATTAATATATATTATTGAAGTTTTTTGGATTTTTTTTCAATTATAATTTTGGTTTTACTTTCAGTTTTAGTTTAGTGAAAGTTCAAATAATTGCTGATATTTAAAACGAACTTTTTTAGTAAGATTTTCAAACAATTTATGTTATCTAATTTTGTAATAATGGCATTTTTGGATATCAGTTTATTATAGAGATAGGGACCGCGATATGAAATTGTGAAACGCGACAGTTTTGTTTTTCTGAACGGTACATTAAAGTTTCCTACTTCTCTAGTGTCATATCTATTTTTATTGCTTTTAAAAAATTCATTTAAGAAATGTGGTGGGACAAGCCCGAGTTTAAGTTCTCTAATAAGATAAAGTTCTATAATAAGATAAAGTTCTCTAATAAGGTAAAGTAAAGTCTTCTTTAATCTTTTAACAGTGGAACACTTTTTGCGTTGAGGCTTTTTCCTAGTGGAAAACTTTTTAATTTACTGAATAAATACAAATAAACAAATACAAATAAACTGTTTTATTTGCGCAACTTTTCAGTAGATTTTTTACTTTAAATCAGAAAAAAAATTGACCCAAAATACAGACCGTGAAGAAGAATTAATTTTAGATCATTCACAAAAAAACTGAACAAATTCATTCAAATCTGCGTAAAATACAAGTCTTCAAAATAAAGCATACGCAACGACGATTATATCCGTCATTCAGATATAAGTATCACTTTACTATTGACGGATATAGCCGTCATTCCCTGTTAAAAGACCAATAATGTAGTTTAAGGACACCTGTCATTAAACTACCCATGGCCTACTCAATACACGGCCGGATTTGTTGCATAAATAGGCTGAAAATTAGAAGGCCAGTTTTTTGCATTTCGGCACTGTTAGTTAATTGTTATTTTTTTAATTTGGGGAGATTATAATGGTGAATAAATGTGCAGGTGTTAATTGTTGAACAGGTTGTAAATCTAATAAAAGTAAATCTAGTTCTCTTTTTGCAAGTAAAGAATAATGGATAAAATTTATTAACAGAAAATATTGGAAGCCAAGTAAACATTCAGTTATATGTTTGGATCTTTTTGAACCAAAGTATTTAAAATATGGGAAACGAGTTACTTTAAGGCATGAGTTAAACCCTTTTCCAACCATTTATCCTGATAAAATTTGCATTCCATCTTCAATAAAGCCTAAAGTTCCTAACTTTTGAAAATCTCCAACTAAACGAAATTCCACTATTCCAGATGAAATTCATACATTTCAAGAAATGGATAAAATAAAAAATATTGATATGCTTCATGAATCTAACTCTCCAAATGGGAGTAGTTTTCAAAGATATAAAAGTTTTATTTTATACTATCGTTTTTTTTTTGTAGACTCCATTCCTTATATTGAATCAATAAGCATTGATAACAATTTACATGTAAAATGCATAATAAAAGTTGTCCACCACTACTTTCTCAATGGTTTAGAACAATTAATAATTGTAAGCTTACAAGTTTATCTATTTTAAATAATTTGGTGTCATATGCACAACCTTGTTAAAGAGAATTCCTATTGTTTAGTTAATGAACTGTCCAAATTAGTCTTTTACAAGTCCAAAGGTTGTCCTCCATATTCTTCAAAAGTATTACGTTTTGCATTAATTTTTTTTGTTTTGTTTTGTTTTGTATTCATCATCTCAGACTTATTCGCTTCTTTTAAAACCACTTTCTTTACCATCAATGTCACTATTGAAAAAGTTTCTGGTGGAATTGATTAAAATCATTAAAACTATTGATAAATGAGGGGAAAATAAGCAATGATTCCTTTTTGATGAAATGTATTTACAGCAGTCTTGTAAGTACCACAGTGGTAGATTATTTGGACATGATACTGAAGGTAATCTCTACAAAGGAATAATTGTGTTTATGATTTTTGGTTTAAAAAAATCTCTAATGTAATTAAAGCTATCCCAGAGTCTAGTGTCACTGGAGATTTTATTAAAGATAAAATAGAAGAAAGTTTAAATACATTAAAACTTTAACATTAGCGCATTGATTTCTGATAACCATCCAATTAATGTGTCAGCTTATTCAAAACTGCTTAGCGTTTATGATCAAAATAAAGAAAATTTCTTCATCTCTTATAAAGATCATATAATTTATTTGATGCATAACAGTGTACATTTGCTCAAAAATATAAGAAATAATTTAATTAGTACCAAAAAGTTTATTTTTCCACCATTTCAGTTCACTGATTACAATTTTAGTATAAATATGTCTGCAGGAGATATATCTTGGGGGTTGTTTCATAGAGTACATAAAAAAGATGAAACTCTTTCAGCAAACTTAAGAAAGGCATCAAAACTTGGAGTAAAGACATTATATCCAAGTAACAATAAACAAGATGTCAACCTAGCAATAAATATATTTCATGAAACAACTTCAGCAGAAATTCAAAGTTATTTTCCTAATAATTTAATAAATGAATATTCAGCATCTGAATATTCATTAGAAAAACTAAACCACAATTTTTGCGTGCATTTGCTCAATGGGTTGTACAGTGGCAAAATTTGCAATACGGTTCCACTGATAGATATTGTCTCACAACTTAGACTTCTAAGGCACTAATCTTAACATTGCAAAGTCTTCTAGTTTAATTGAAGATCTTTTATTTAAAAGTTTCAATAATGCTCTTACCTCTCGTTTCCAAAGTGATTCATTTGAAAGACATTTTTTAAAGTACCGTCAAATTAGTGGTGGCAGGTTTCTTGTTGGACTGCGTGAAGTAAATACTTCGAAGAATATTTTGCAAATGAGAGCATTATTAAAAGAAAATTTTGACTTTTGGAAAATGGATTTGAAAGCTTTTAACTCAGTTGTGAATCTAAATTTAATATCGGAACTTTTTGTTAATGATATCCAGTGAGTTGGATGAAAACAGTGAAGTTTCTATTTTTGTTGCTGGATATATATGCAGAAAATTACTTAAAAAAGTTAAATGCGAATTATGTCCTTTGTTGCTAAAAAGTGATATCATTGATGTAAATACAGAATATATTAAACTACTATCGAGAGGAGGTCTCATAACTTCCTCAAAATTACAGGGAAATCATGTTATTAACTGCTTTGCTATGCTTGATGCAGTGAAAAAAAGTTTACTTAGTTCCAATGTATTTGAAATTAGAGAAATTTCCGAATATATTTTATATGAATATATTTTAAATCAATGCTTTGTTTATGAGGATCATTTAGAATGGGGCTTTTCTCTTGTTAATCGAATAATAATAATAATAATAATAATAATAATAATAATAATATATATATATATATATATATATATATATATATATATATATATATATATATATATATATATGTATATATATATATATATATATATATATATATATATATATATATATACATATATATATATATATATATATATGTATATATTTGTATTAAACTTGCTATTAGTATTTTTTTTTTAAATTTTTGCATAAAAGGGCCACTAAAACAAAAACTGGGACAAAAATAGTAGTTAGGAATAATGCTCATTAGGAATATACTATATTTTAATGCTATTTGTTGGCAATAAGAAAAATTATTTAAATTGAAATGCGAAATTCAGTTTTAAAAATTTTTTTAAATAAAATTAATCTAAAAATTTTGAATAAGATTATAAAAAAAGTAAAAACTAATAAACTTTCAACTTGAACATGTTCGGAAAGAAAATTTATAATATTGAAAAACTGGCCTTTTAATTTTCGGCCTATTTATGAAACATATCCGGCCGTGTATTAAGTAGGCCATGAACTATCTTATTAGAAAAGGGCTATAAAACTACAGGGTTAAGTTGACCCAGCTTAAATTTAGATTTTTTGACTATAAAGTGCAAAATTCATATGAAACCTTTCTATATTGTGCAAGCAATTTGCATATTGAAGTTGTTGAAAATATTTTTAAAATAAAAAAAGGAACACTTTTACAATATATATATATATATATATATATATATATATATATATATATATATATATATATATATATATATATATATATATATATATATATATATATATATATATATATATATATATATATATATATATATTGATCATGAGAAAATTAATTAACTCAAAAATTCAAAATACTTGGATAAAAATTTAATTAAAAAATATTACAGTTTTACTTTATAAAAATGTTGATTTTTTAATTTTGGATGGCATTATACTTAAAAATTAAAACAAATGTTAACTTCTTACATATAAACTAATTGAGTTAGCTGACACACTTATTAAAAAAATAAACATGATAGCCAACTTTTCATTCTTTAAAGATGTTGAATAAAAATTTTTTCATAAAAGACACGCTGCTAAAAAACTATAACTATAGCCAAATTTAGTTGGTCCGACCCCCGCTCTCCTCCACCCACACATCTCTGTGTCTCTCCCTGTCTCTCTCTCTCTCTCTCTTTGGCAACAATTTGGCGATCTATGCGCTCTGCAACATTTTTGCCATCAAAAGTGCGGATGTTGGTTTACCCTATGCAAAACCCTGTTGATCGAAGTTCATAAAAATTTAATTTTTGTGTTAGAAATTCAATCACCGTGTGAATTAACACTTAAATCACAAGGTTACTTATAAGTTATTTTAATTAGTTGGTTATATTATGCAATGACGTATTTTTTTTAATTTTATTGCTAGTTTAATTTTCTCTGTTTCACTTGAACTTTTTAATAGCAAAAAAATTTAATATTGCTTTTTTTTTTTTAACTAAAAATCGGTCATTAGTGAAAATTCAGTGATTAATACCCAATTCACGATTTTTTTATACCTAATGTAAGGTACACGAGGGAAGCATTATTACAATGAATGCAAGTTTTGCAGAACTTATTTATTTTATTGTATATATGTTGTGCAAATGTAAAAATATTTATTGATGAAAAATTATCAATTGAAAAGAAAACAATCTTAAAAGATTTACTTTAAATAGTTTGGTCAGCATTATTTGACTCTAAATATGCTGAACATTCAATCATGAATGTTGCGGCAAGAAAAATTTGTGCTAACGTGTGTTTCGCTTTACTATTGTTATTTGAAGCAGTTTTTATAGAGACAGGTAATAAAATTGAATTTTAAAAATATATATATTTTATAAAAAACTTAAGACTTACCTTCACGTAAAAGTTATTAAATTTATTAAGTATACAAAAAATTAGTTAAAAATTTTTCGATATATTTTAAAATGATAACTGAAAACATGTTTTTCAGTTATAACTTGTAATCATTTATTATTCGTATAAAAAAGGGGTAAAGTTAAAATCGATACGATATTGTCGAATTCACGATAACTGTAAATCTGTAAAGCGAGTAAAAATAAAATAATAAAATAAACAAGTTTAAAATGATTTTAAAATGATTTTAAAAGTTTAAAACACAAAGTTATAAAAAAAATGCTTCAAACACAAAATAATAAAAAAACAAAAATAACTTATTAAATAGAAAAGTATATATATCAAAAATGCTTAAAAAAATATTATGGTTAGGGTAATTGCTAATGGGTGGTACCCACGGTGGAACATTTTTAAGAGATTGTTTATAATGGGAAACTTAAAGTAATAAATAGTTTCTAAAATACTGATGATAAACTAACAAAATCTCTATAAACGTCATTAAAAGTTTTATTATTTTGAAAATTGTCATTATTTTTAGGATCAATTAACTTTCACCAAAGAAGAAAAAGAGGTTTGTATTTTTTTATCAACAATTTTGATGTTATGGTTACTCTTTACGTCAATTGTTAGTTGAGTCATAATTTTTGTTTCTAACAACCGTTTTCCAAGAGATCTTTTATAAAATACTATGCTTGAATTGTATTCTTTGATAATATATATTTTAACTAGCTGTCATGTAACTTGTATGAAATTCTAGCTTTGCTTTAAAATCATTTATAAATTTTTAATTGAATTCTTAATCTGGTTTTGAGTTGCTTTTGTTCTCAATTTTGTTGGTAAAGAACAAACTTTTGTTGGTAAAGAACAAAGTTTTGTTGCTAAAGAACAAAATGTTGTTGGTAAAGAACAAAATTTTGTTGTTAAAGAAACTTTGTTTTTGATTACAGTTTGATCACTTTTCTAACAAAATAATTTCTGTGTTCCCCTCTTGCAAGTGAACATAACGTTTCTGTATGTCAATGTATTTTATCAATGCAAAATTGATAAAATACATTGACATACAGAAACGTTATGTTCACTTGCAAGAGGGGAACACAGAAATTATTTTGTTAGAAAAGTGATCAAACTGTAATCAAAAACAAAGTTTCTTTAACAACAAAATTTTGTTCTTTACCAACAACATTTTGTTAAACAACAGTTTATATAAACGTCCAAATGTCATAATTTGGACGTTTATATAAACTGTTTTTGGGGTTCCAGCGGCCAATATGCATTTTTTTTGTATTTATCTTTGTAAATAGTCATTTGCCGTTTTAATATCAACTCAATATTTGTCAATATTTAATTGCAATTAAGTTGTATTGTATACCACATTATTTTTATTAATTCTAGCAAGTAGCGTTGTCAGTGAGCAATTATGATATTAATTTTAAGTTATCTAGAAATAACAGATCTTTGTTTAGAAATAACAGACTACTTGTTATAGTTCTATAATTGATTTTAATTTCTCCTATTCTTCATTTTTTATTGAGAAAAATGTTTTCGTATTTTTCCAGTTTGTATACTTTGTTATGGAACAAGTCTTTATCAAAATCTAAAAACATTTTTCTAAAAACGTTTTTGTGATATAAATTATACTTTGGTAAAAACTCATGCACAAGATTTATTTTTTAATGGTTGATGATCAGCGATCAACTTGTAATTAATTAAAAGAGTCTTTCTTTCTCCCTTTTCATTTTTTTCCTAAAATTTAGCATGGTAACTACTATATGAATAAGTAACTGATGTTAGAATAAATATTCAATAATTTACAGTTTCAACAGTGATATAAATGGTCAGTAATTTATATTCTTAACAGTGATATATAAACCAAAGCTATTTTATAATGCTTTTTTTTATATACTATCAAAAAATTTTATAAAGTCAGAAATTCAGCACTGTTACGGATCACCATACACAACCGTAACCGGTTACCATTTACAACTATTGGATGTCACTATACACCAATATTTCAGCGTACCATACACCTTTGTTATAAATAACCGTTGATTGCCGTTATATGTCACCATACTATACCGTTACAGCTTACCGTATAATGGCATATTACAAAAAAGCCAAAATCATCTGAGCAATTAATAAAACATACAAAAATTAGTGTCATCCAGAATGTGGGGGCAAAAAAACCTGTTGTATTTTAAAAAATGCTATTGTATATAGATAACATTATTAATCTATCAAATATCATCATATTTTTTAAATAAATGTTGTGAGCATCTTGATGAGTAACGACAATTTGATGTTTTAAAACTTATCTGAAAAAACTTAGAGGATAAAGTGATTAATATTTAATCTAAAAAGTATTATGTAGACTTTTGATATGCTATATTATATGAGGCCATGAGAACAAAAGTGGGGTAATCCACAAATTTACAAAATGTGTTTTTTTCGCATAACGTTACTCTATAAAAAAACTTAAAGAAATGTCTCAATAGATGGTTAAAACTAAAAAGCTGCTAAGAATTTAAAAAACAAGTGAGATAATTCAATTAAAAAACTACGGAAATTTATTTTTACTATTTTCTCCATTGTTTTAATATGTTGCTTACACCACTTTTGTTCTCATGGCCTCATATATAAAGTTGATATTACAGATTCATTTTTAGCAGTGTAAAGTTACTTTCATATTTATATTTTAGGGCTTTTATCGCGAACAGGTATTTGCCCAAGTCCAGTAAATAACTTTGTAGTTAAAGATACTCGGTTGAATTTCTTTGGACTAAGCATAACCTTACCTGGAGACGAGTATCCTTCATGCTATGCAAATGAGTGTTTAGATGATCAAGAATGTAGCGGCGATAAAAAATGCTGTGTAAATCATTGTGGAGCACAAGTTTGTACTGAAGCTGAACGCGAACCTCATCCTTGCCAGGTTTATTTCTTGAACATTATATTAAGTTTTAAATATTTGTGGTTTTTTTTTTTTTTTTTGAATAAGCTTTGTTGTTGTTAAAATCATTATTTTTATTTTTTATTTTTCATTCTTTATTTGTGAAGCTTTTCAATTGCCCAGCTACAATGGTTTGTAAAATTCAGCGAGTAAGATGCATAGATCCATATTGTCCCGATCTGTTGGCTTTGCCACGCCCAGTGTGTGTATCAGGCGGACCTTTGTACGGTGAGAAATATTTTATTTTGATGTCATCTTTATTTTATTTTATTTATAAGTTGAATTTACAATATTTTAAAGCATTTTAATCTAGTTAAAACCTATAATAAAATAGGAAGTTTTTTAGATGTAAAATAAGTTACACTCTCAACGTCATACCTCAATTAATAGGTCAGGTAACTAATGGTTTTAACAATAACAACTTCGTAAAGGAACATTAATCGACCAATCAAAAGCTATTGATACGGTTAATAGGTTTTCTTTTAGGAAGAAAAAATAATAATTTCTAACTTACAAAAAGCAATATGTGGTATAATATGTAAAGATTTCAATGAAACAAATATTTTGTGAAGAATTCCCCATGGGTCAATTTTTGGCACAATAGTCTTTTAAACTATGTAAAAGCATTAGAAAAACAAAATTTTAACCGTGTTTGCCGACAATAAAAATCACATTTTTTTGAATAGTGATATTATATATACCTGCATAAATAAGTTAGGTATATAAGAGGTCTATAAGAGTTAGTAATTTTAAACTCCGGGTGTGTGTATATATATATATATATATATATATATATATATATATATATATATATATATATATATATATATATATATATATATTTATATATATATATATATATATATATATATATTTATATATATATATATATATATATATATATATATATATATATATATATATATATATATATATATATATATATATATATATTATTTTATTTAGATGAAAAAAACAACTGATTAGCGGGACTTAAAGTTTTAATGATGTAATTAATTTTTGTATTGCCACCTTTGCCTAAACGAAAAACTTGCAACTATTTCTTAATTTCTTACTCGAAACAGGAAAAAATACTAAACAAACGATCTGTTACGATAACAAGTATTTACTAAAAAATTATTTAGCAAACCTTATTAACTAGTTTTATTTGTGAATGTTATTCACTAATAAAAATTTACAAATATACAATTTTTTTATTTCAATTATTTATTTAATCATACTTATTTTACCCTACTTCTAAATTAAAATTTTTTAATATGCTTATGTAAATTTCAATTAACAATCCAAATACGAAATTCTAAATACGAAAACATAAGTTAGTCATCAGGCGTGTTTTATTTTCTTGCATAAAATATAAAAGTTTAAATCGAAAAATTAAATTAACAAAAAAAATGGGATTTTAATAAAAAGTATTATACATTAATTTACTACTGGAAAAGGAAAAAGACACGATAATAGAAAAACGCATAAGTTTAAAACAGCGGTAATAAATTATAAAATTTGCAACGATTGCAACTGCTAATATTAAAATTATTACTAATATTAAAATTATTACTAATACGAGAGTCTATGAATAATGTTCAAATTGAACGGGAACACAAAGCTGAACCAAGAAACGTTAAAAATAAAGGTTAATAATCGTAAAACTGTTAAACCTAATAGATAAGATAGAAATATAGGTAGAATAATAGATAAAATAGAAAATTTAAAAAGACCTATAAAGCTAAAATAAAAGAACTTTAATATAAATTTTTATTATGAAAACCGCCCAAGTAAGAAAAGAATTGAAACATTAAAATGTTCAAGTAAAGAGAATAAGGAAAATATGTATTTATCTCACAATCTTATTATTCGTGAATGAGTTTAATGGAAAAATGATGCAAAAAACTACTAAGTACATTTTTTCCTTACTTTTTTGAATAATATTTTACAGGATATTATTTTTAATTAATAATTTAATTTTTAAAATTGGACGACAATTTTACGTTTTATGTAAAAATGTCGACAAATTTACTAAAAATCTAAAATTGTCGTCCAATCTTAAAAAATGTATTGTTTTTTATGCTACAAAGAAATTCTTTTTAAAAGAAATTTCAACATTTTTAGTTCTATACTTTTGCTACTTAAAATAATACTAAATTGTACAATACTAAATGAAATACTAAAAAGAACGAAAATACTAAAATGAACGCAAAACATTTAAAATTCTAAAATAAATTCAAACATGTCAACAACTTTTGTTAAAAATCTTTTAATTTTTTACAAACAGTTTGTCATTAATAAAGAATCTTGTAAAATAAATAGCTTTAAGCCGTATTTAATTACCAATATTGTATGAAAAAATACAAAAGAAAGAAATTAAAATACGTAATTGGTGACTCAAATTTAAACGCTTTTAAAAATAACTGTAAAAAGCTTTTACAATGATTTATTTGAAAAAAGGTACAACTCCTTTAATAAAACGTACAAGATTATTAAATAAGATGGATCTGTTTCTTTAGTGTCAATATAGACAATAGTTATCTTTTGAGAGGTATAACCTGGGTTCAGTTTAAACTCTCATCCACTTAATTGTTAATGATTGGCACAGTCGAGTTTATTTATTTCACTATTATTATTGCCATGTCTGATAAAAGTTTTAATGCAATTACTTTATAGACCCTTGTATACTACAGGTTTTTTGATTAATGTATTTCTGTCCTCCATCAATACCATCAAATCCCTGTGAGAACGGGACGTAAAAAAGTTGTCTTTTAAACGGCTCTTGAACGTTTTGAACGTCCTTTGAACATTTTGGACATTTTTTGAACGTTCAAAAGACATCTTTTTTAGGTCCCGTGCCCACTGGGGTATAATAAAACTAAGAAAAAAAAATCAAATTTACTGAAGAAACATGCTTCAGTTACTAGCATAGATACATCAGTACAATAAACAATAAATTTTAAATCTGACATTTTTTGACACCGTAAAACTTATATAAGCAGCCTGAACTGTTTGTAACATTAGCATAGGTAATCTCTTGTACTTCGAATCTTCTTATATTTTTTTTCATAAATAAAAGAAAAGATGTTGAAAAATTATATCTAACCCCACACTATTTGAAAGATCATAACTTATCTTCAAGTTTATGATTCACTTCTAATATGCCTTACAGGTGAAGGTGCACTTAAGCAAAAAAGAGCGTTTCCTCTTGTTGCAAGATTAATATTTGTTCAGTCACAAATAATAGATTTTTCTTTCACTGTAGAAGAAAAAACTTTTTCAGCAACATTTGTACTCTTTGAATTAATTAAGGCATAGCGGTTTTGAATAGTTATTTTTTGTAGCAAAAGTGAAAAACAGTTATTTTTTGTAGCGAAAGAAAAAACCAACGCCAGGACCAACTGTTTGATAACATTCTGAGGCAATAACATCATGCCGTGTTGTTTCAAGCTGACTCAGAACCCTGGAGCAAAGTAAAATTGTGAAACTCAAAAGTCTAAGTGTCATCTATTTTGATATTTAGCAAGAGTTTTAAATTTATCTAAATACCTTGTTTCATATTGTTTTGCTCCATTAATATTTAAATGATATGATTTTGAATAATAAAAAACGAATTAAAGTTACTTTATTATTTCTATTACAATTTATATCAGGAAAAAAATTTAGTCCCACCATTATGCTAAATTAACTTTTAGCTGTGTTCAAAAATGTATTTGTCAATTTTAGCCAATTTAAGAAAAACATGTTATTTAAAAGTCGTAGCAACACTAATTATTACTACATTTATAATATTTTTTATCTAGAAATGTAACACATACTATAAAAATTGTTTGAAGACGCAATGACGCAAACTTTCTACAATACAAAATAAGTTAAAAAAACCTTAATAACATTTTCTTGTAAGTTCATTCAATTAAGTCTCATCCTTTTTCTATGACTGTTCTTATGTGCTCCAAAAACTCTTATTCCTCTAGTTTTTTTCCTCGAACATCCGTCCTTTGGAATTCGCTTCCATCATCTTGCTTTCTGATTCATATAATTTGCAATCTTTTAAGTTGTTTGTCAATCGTTATCTTGCTCTACAATCTTCATCTTTTCTCTTCCAGTAACTTCCAACTCTAACAGTGGTTGCTTGCAGCCTTGTCGGATGCAAAGATGTTAAAAAAAATAAATAAAAAAGTCATATTTAAAGCAAGAATTTCTCAAAGATCTTTTAAACACTATGCTATTGGAATGAACTTAAGTGTGATATCCTGCTCCAACTCCAAAGTCTAGTTTCTGCAGCATAGGCTTGAAGTTAGCCCAATCCCAACCAGATCCTAATCACAGTTACTTGTTTCTTTAAATGATTCACATCAATTGCACAGGTTATAACTCAACTATCTTCACATGATGAAAGTTGTCTGTGTCGATGTCTGTGTATTAAAACAATTTGTGGAACATTAGACATTTAGACATTAGGTCTAAAGTTTTTTTAAACTTCTAAAAGTAAATTTCCTAATACATTTAGACCACCCATAGAAAAATGGTGTTCTGGTGGAGGATGTTAAACTACAATATCTGGTGGAGGATGTTGAACTACAACATCTGGAGGATGTTGAATTACAACATCTGGTGGAGGATATTGAACTACAACATCTGGTGGAGGATGTTGAACTGCAACATCTGGTGGAGGATGTTGAACTACAACATCTGGTGGAGGATCTTGGAACATCTGAACGTGAAATAAAACTAAGTAGAACTTAAGAAATATAAACACATAAAATAATTTTGATTGTTGTAAAAATGTTTTAGAATTCCGAACTAAAAGAGGAATTTAGTGTAATATATTTATATAATGTCATAATTTAGTATAATATATTCTTATAATATGATTAATATTACAATATACTTATAAATCCAATTTTAAACCTATTAAACCTTTTACATTATAAAACTCTTTCACCTACTATTATGTGTTCATCTAGTTATTTATACCTGCTATTTACATAAATATTTAGTAAAAAACATTATCATGGCGTTTCATCTCTTTCACCTTTGCTACATTATTCTTAAAATTAAAGTACTGTAATTTTTAAAGATATCAATATCTGAATCAATCCTTTTTTCATTTTATGTAATATTATGAAATGTTTACTACTACCAAGGTTTCTATAAGTTCTTGACATTTTTTCCATAAATGTTCTTTTTAAATTAATTAAATATTAATGTCAAATATGATCATGTGTTTTAGCTAAATAACTTGCCATCTTAAGATCGAAGAAGAATAACCTGATTTTAAGATCGAAGAAATCCTATCAAAGTTAAGTAATCTTTCTGATATTGTTACAGGGTGTCGAAGCAGGGGGCACCCTTTCGGCCCTTATTGTGGCATGCCTTTTCTAAAGAATCTTTTTTTTTTAAAATATGTGCTCTAATTTTATTTAATATTTACCACGATTGTCAAAAATTGAGCTTTTCAAATGCCAGCAACTAGATACTGATTTTTGAAAACTCATGATATGAAAAACACTGAAGCAAATCTTCCTCCAGAACCCATTTACACTTGCTCTTAAGTCTTATTATAATCAAGTCCTCATTTAATAGCTTCAAAGGATACTAACCCTATGGTTCTGTGAAGTATTTTGTCATCTGATACACGAACTTGAATATACATACGATGATATGATTAATAAGTTTGTTAACATTCCAAAATTTGTGAAATTAGATAAAAGCTAAAATTTTAGAAAATCTTCTCAAAAATAAATTATGCATATTTTAAACATTTTTTGACTGAATTTATTTGGATCATTTAAATTAATTCATAAACTTATACATTTAATTAGTGGCAATTCTATGTTTGAGAAGCTTGATCAATATCTTAACCTGGTAAAGATACCAAAAACTGCAAAAAAGTTTAGGTTCACATATATTTTTTAGCGTTTATACCAGAAAATGTTTTATAAATGACTCTACAAAAAACGTAATCAAATTACAAAAAAGTTCTCCCGACCTTTTTAATGCTCAAGGTGTAAAGTATAAAAAGAAATTTATACTTTAGTTTAGTTCAGCTTAGTTTAACGCTTTGGGTTTTATATACATTCACTCAAGAATTTTTTCATGCGGAATTAATCTAAGTTGGAATATAATGGTTGTCCAAACAGAATGATATTCTGTTTGGACAATCATTAACGATTGAAACACTACAATTTTCTTAGATATTAGACAATTCCTTAGACAAAAAAAGTCATTACCATTTCATTACCAAGTCATATTGAAAAATAGAGGTTTTCAGGAGATGCAAAAACATAAACTATGCTCTATTACTGAAAGTTTGCAATTACAAAAATGTAAAGTTTAGTACAAATCGGAATTACTATTTTTACAATTTTTTAATTAAAATTTAAATATTTAATTAAGTTAAATTTAATTAAACATTGAGATATAATGACTTGACCTCCATCAATTAATTTGCGAGTTTTATGTCATGCAACAAAAAAAAAATGCATTTCTTTTAGTATTTGATTTACAGGGTGTTTATTATAAAATACAGTTCAAAAACATCGAAACGGCAAAATTGCATATTTTTTATGTGAAACGTGGTAATGACTTTTCACTGACAACATGTTTATATAAATCTGATTATATATATATATATATATATATATATATATATATATATATATATATATATATATATATATATATATATATATATATATGTATATATATATTTATATATATATATATATATATATATATATATATATATATATATATATATATATATATATATATATATATATATATATATATATATATATATATATGTATATATATATATATATATATATATATATATATATATATATATATATATATATATATATATATATATATATATATTTATATATATATATACATATAATATTGTCATTTTTTATAAATTAATTTTTTATTTTTCTTATTTTTTAGAAATTGGGAAGAGATGTAAGTACAAGTTGTTGTAAATTTATTTAGTTGAAAGCATAAAAAAGATGATTTCTATTTTGATTTTATTACTGATTTAGCTCGTATACCTCGACCCAGTTTACATTCATACGATTTACTAAGTAAATTACATAATGAACAAAAAGAAGTAGTTTATTCTCCAGAACTTGAATATGATAAGAATCAGGTCTACAAAATTGGCGTGTAACTGTTAAAATAGAGCAATAAAATATTGAAGTGATTAGAAAATAAAATTTTTTTTAAATATAACTTTATCTATGTACAATATTTTTATCAACTATATTTTTTGTTTGTTTAGTTTAAAATGTTTCATTTTTTTCAATGCAAAAATCATAATGTGTAAATTATTGTTATATCACATTCATACATTATTTTGTTAATCAACGAAACTGTATATTTATGCACCATGTTTCATAATTAAATAAAAATTTTTTACAATAATTTCGGTAAAAAAAGTTTTTTTTTGTCAATTTTTTTTTTTAAATTAGTCGTTTAACATTCAAACAATGAATTTATTGTTTAGATTGATTAAAAACAGTTATAGGTAAATAAATTACCCTATAAATGTTCATACCAAGATTGTTATATAAAATTGCATGTAAAATTTATAAAATTTTCATGTAAAAGGTAAACGCAAAAAGACTATAAATGTAACAGTAACTTGTGTAAAGTAAAGGTTATCGCTGTTTACGTTAATTTACCTTAAAGATTGTCGGTATTGATTGATGTTGACCTTTTACATCAAATAATTATTTAACATAAGGTCAACACGTTTTTATTTAACGATATATTAACTTTTAATGACAAAAATTATAACATCTACATGGAAATTATTTTCAAATAGTAGAAAAAACTGCAAAAACTTTAGGAAAAACTCTTTATATTTATATGTGTGTGTGGTACAGGGTGCAGAGTTAGTTTGCATTAGGCACATGTTCATATTTTTTTAGTAATCCCAGTAGGTCCTTAAAAAGTAAATGATCTTTAGTTTATCGTTTTTATTTACTTTTTGAAAAATGTCACTCAACACCAATACGATGTAAAAAGGTGTTGTCTGATGCTAAGCTCCATTATTCTCAGTTTACTAAATATCGCATCTTATCTCAGAAATTAGACTCTAGGGACTTTTGGATCTTCAACAGCGTCATTAAGAAGGGTAGGTCTTATATTCCATCTCTTATACAATCACAATGCCTCCTAAACAATCACAATGCCTCCTAAAAAAGAAGAAGAAAAAAAACTAGACGATTTATTAGAGAGAATTAAACAATTAGAATTAAAGCTAAACTTTAAAGAAGAAAGAATTAAAAATCTAGAAGAAAGAATAATAAAATTGGAAGAGGAAAACACTTCTAATAAAAACAATCCATGTATAATAAATGATAAGGCGTGGAATGTCGTCGCCAGCAAAAATAGTGTAAAGACTCCATTACAAATAGATATTATAAATACAGTAGCAATTGAAACAGCTGAGAGAGCTAGAAGAGAAAACAATGTTATTGTTTTTGGTTTAAATCATTCCACAAAAAGTGATCTAAATGAACGAAAAGAAGATGATAAAATAGAGGTATTAAAAGTCATAAAAGATATAAATTTAGAAAGTGTGCAAATCAAAAGAATTACAAGATTACGATCAAAGGATATGTCACAAAAGTCCCCAGTTATTTTAGAACTTGATAACGTGCATGCAAGAAACCAAGTGCTAAAAGCAGCTTTTCGTAACAGGGATAAAATACTAAATATTTACTTTAATACTGACATGACTGAAACAGAAAGAGTTTTAACGAAGCAATTAAGGTCTGAAGTGAAAATTTTAAACGGAAATTCAGACATGAACAATAGCTTATATATTATATTATGGTATAAGAAGTAATAAAGTAGTAAAACTGACTAAAAAAACATATCAATTTGAGTATAAAGTGGCAAACAAAATAAGTAACATTCTAATGTTTAAAAGAACTGTAACCGGTATCCAAGATTTTAAAAATAAAATAAATGATAATGCACAAAAGCCAGTTATAAGTACTGGATACAACTCAGATAGTTTGAAATGTTTATATACCAATCCCAGTGGGCACCGGACCAAAAAAAGACGTCTTTTGTACGTTCAAAAAACGTCAAAAACGTTCAAAAGACGTTTAAAAGACGTCCAAAACGTGTATAAGACGTTTAAAAGACGTCTTTTTTACGTCCGTGTCCACTGGGATGCTACATCATTTGAAAAAAATAAATTAAATGAAGTTATAGCTGAAATTGAAATAAGCTCTCCAGATATAATTTTCATAACAGAAACATGGTGGAATGATACTTCAGCAACAATTATACCTGGTTATAACCTTTATCGCAGAGACCGAATGAATAGCAGAGGTGGTGGAGTCTGTATTTATGTAAATGACCTAATTGATTCATTTGAAGTCAATAATGAACCCTATAATAATAAAAATATTGAGCAAATATGGTGTACCATTAAAATGAGCAATGCATATTGTGTGGCAATGAATGCATATTATGTGGCTGTATTTATAGACCAGGAAGTGATGATTTAGTAAACTTGTAATCAATTCTATTAAAGAAAGTTACAATTACTTCTCAAAAACTAAAATATATACTGAGGTTTTGATATGTGGTGACTTCAATTTTCCATCCTTGAATAGTATATGGAATTCTAGTTATGAAAGTGTCTGCATTGGAGAAAAAGAGAGACAGTTTCTAAAATGCACAACATGTAAAAAAACCAACATTTCAATTAAATGACACAAAATTAACAAATATATTAGATTTAGTATTTACAGCTTCTCCTTTTCGCATATCCAGCTTGGTACATATGGATCCTTTGGGGAAAACAAAAAGAGGTCATCATGTTTTAAATTTTAGTTTTAATTATCAATTACATAATCGCAAAAATGAAAGTATTACTACAAAGCGAGTATACATGAAAGGAAATTATCATGAATTTTCAAAATATTTAAATAAATTTAACTGGAGTCATGAGTTTACTGGACTTAATGTTGATCAGTGTTATGAAAGTTTTATTAGAACTATTGAATACGGCTGTAAAGATTTCATACCGTCATTTAATCGAAAAACAACTGAAAGCAAAAGATCTTTATGGATGAATAAAGAATTAAAACACGAAATTCGACTTAAGCGTAATCTTTGGTATCGATACAAAGCCTCTCATTTCAAAAATTTAGATCTTTAGGAAGAATATAAACTAAAAAATAAGTTAGTTAAAAAACTTGTAAAGATTACAATACAAAAATATGAAAATAAAATTGCAACAGAATCAAAAAAAAATCCAAAACAAGTTTATGCTTATATTAACAGTAAACTAAAAGCTAAAGACCATATAAGAGCAATTTCAAATGAAAACAATGAAATATCAACTGACAGTCAAGTTATTGCTAATCAGTTAAATCGGTTTTTCAATTCTGTATTCATAAACAAAAGCCTAACTGATATGCCTACATGTGAAAATATAACAGAAAAAATTTGCCCAACCCCATTGTTTAATGAGAAAGATATTAAAAAACGATTATTGAATCTAAATGTGCACAAGTCCCCAGGTATCGATAGAATTCATCCAATGTTTTTAAGTAAGTTTGCTGACAGTTTAGCTAGACTACTCTGTATGATATTTAACCAATCATTTCTAACTGGAACAATACAAGCTGGTTAAAAGCGAATATCACAAAAATGCTTACAAGCTGGTTAAAAGCGAATATCACTCCAATTTTTAAAAATGGGGATAGGTTGAATGCAGGTAACTACCGTCCAATTTCATTGACCTCTGTTGTTTGTAAAGTAATGGAAAGTATTGTTAAGGATACAATAATGAACCATTAAATAAAAATAAGTTATTAATACCAGAACAACACGGATTCATTAAATCAAAAAATTGTGTAACAAAACTTCTCGAGACATTAGACATAATAACAGAAGCAATAAATTGTGGAAAATGTGTTGATGTTGCCTTTTTAGATTTTTCTAAGGCATTTGATTCAGTTCCGCATTTCAGGCTGCTCTTGAAACTTAAGTCATTTGGTATTGTCGGAAAATTGTTGCAATGGTGTAAAGCTTTTTTAGCAAATCGAAAACAGAGAGTTGTTTTGGGACTGTTTGAATCAGAATGGGAAACAGTTCGTAGTGGGGTACCACAAGGATCGGTCTTAGGACCCTTACTTTTTATAATTTATATAAATGATTTAACAAAAAAGTTGAATAATATAGCAAAACTATATGCAGACGATTTAAAAATAATTGCAGTTCTAGAAAAAAATAAAATAAATAACTCTCTACAGTTTGATCTTGACATCTTATTTAACTGGACTAAAAGATGGCTTATCAGTTTTAATAAAGATAAATGTAAAATCATGCATTTTGGTCGTGATAATCCGAAAATAAAGTATAATTTAAAATATAATGCTACAGAAACAGAGATTATTCAACATGGACTAATAGTAACGTGATTGGAAAGAGACCTTGGTGTTTATATTTCAGACAATTTAAAATGGGAAGACCACATTGAAAAAACGGTAAGGCGAATCAAAAATTGGGTATGTTAAAGTACGCAATCCTCTATCCAGATGAAACATCAACAAAATTGTTATATATGTCACTCGTTCGGCCACACTTAGAATATGCTTTTCAAGTGTGGAACCCATATTTTATTAAAGATAAAAACTTAATAGAAAAAATTCAGCAAAAAGCTACAAAATTTGGCTACAAAAAAAAGACAGTTACGAGCAAAGATTAGAGAAAATGGACTTACAAAATCTATCAATAGAAGGGAAAAAGGTGATCTTATCCAAATGTACAAATTCATGAACAAAATTGATACTATCAATTGGCATCGTGAACCAGAAGTATTGAGTAGGCTAACTAGAGGACACAATCAAAGGTTGCGAAGGCAGTATGTTCAAAACTTTTTATCGAGGCATCATTTCTTCACGAACCGTATAGTTGAAAATTGGAATCGTTTAGACAGTGAAGTTGTTAACGCTAATTCAGTAATTGATTTTAAAAATAAACTTAAAAAGTTTAGTGAAAAACAGTTGTTAAAATCTAACATCTACAGTTGTTAGATTCTTTCTTGAAACTCTCAAGAACACAGCTTCAATTATTATTATTATTATTTATGGGACTGATCTTATTACCTCTCCCGAGGATAAGGCAGAACTATTTTATTATTATATCTTATGGCTATTCTCTCCCTTCTATTCCAATTAAACCGGTTAACCCATTGTTAGGCATTCAAATAACTCCGTTGCTAAAGTCATATCTTAACTAAACTCTTCTATGGTTTGTGGTCCAGACAACATTCCGGTATTAGTCTTTCTCCAGAACTCTCTTCAATTCTCTCCAAACTATATATATATTTTTTTATTTACGTGCCCCAAGAAATCCTTACGGTCTTGTAACGGCGGAGGTGTATTTAACAAGGAAGTTAATGCCTCCTTCTTTACCGTGACGCGAATATGTACAAAGCTCGTTTTGAACCTGGATCTCCTGCTTATAAAGCAAGCGCTCCAACCACTGTGCCACGACCGAATATTTGATAAATACTCAACTGAGTCTTGTTTTCCTGCCTGCTGGAAAACAAAACTCAGTTGAGTCTTGTTGGTTGTTCCAATCTTTAAAAACTCAGGTGAACATTCTGACTCTTTTAATTATCATCCTATCAGTTTTCGTTCTGTTATTAGCAAGGTCTTTGAGACTTTGATCAACAAATGTCTCACATCCCATCATTAGTCAAACAATCAATACGGTTTTCGATCCTGTCGCTCTACGGCTGATTTGCTAACTGCTGTGACTGAAAAATTTTATCGTGCATTAAATGGAGGCGGAGAGGCTAATGCTATTGCTCCTGACATATCTAAAGCTTTCGGCAAAGTTTAACATGCTGGTCTTCTCCATAAGCTTGTTTTATATGGTGTATCTGAGAAAGTTTTTGAGATTATCAAATCGTTTTTTTCTAACAGCTTTAATAAAGTCATCCTCAAAGGCCGTATAGCCGTGGCGTAGTGATAGCACACTTGCCTCAGAAACAAAGGATCCGCGGTTCAAGCCCCACCTCTAGGCAAGTTTTGCGACATTGGTAGGAAGGAAGCGTAAACTTCCAACTAAATGCTTATCTGCGGTGCTCTCTGATAAGACTGTAAGGACTTCTTGGCGCACTTAAATAATAATAAAAAAGGCCATTACTCTTTTTTATTTCCTGTAACTTCTGGGGTACCTCAAGGTTTTATCTTTTGTCCTGTTTTGTTTCTTATCTACATTAATGATCTTGCCGACAACCTCACATCTAAAATAGTTCTTTTTGCTGATGACTCAACTTTATACTCCAGTCTTGACAAAAAGTCTTCTCTTTTTTATTGCTCAGAACAAGCAGCCGATCTAAAGTTGCCCTTCTTTATTGTTCTCGCCATTTTCTCTCTTCTGATTATATTCTCTACCTTTAAAAATCTTATTTGTCCCTGTACGAAATACTGTTGTCATATTTGGGTTGAATCTTCTAATGGTGCTCTTTCTCTTCTGCACAAAGTCCAAAAAAGTTGGACCCGCTCTATCTTCTAAGCTTGAGCCTTTTTCCCATCGTCGTAAAGTTGCATTTCTACATATACTATAGGATCTTGTAGAACTATAAGATTTAACTTGATATATTAGATATGCTTCCATTGAAAATGCTTTGCAATTTAGCATTTTATGTTGGTCGAATAGAAGTTTAGTTTATGTAGAATTTTTTAAGAGGAAAGAGTTGTATATTCAGAGCTAATCAAAGCAAAACTTTAAAGATAAGGTTTAATATCAATTTTGTAAATCCGTATTTAATTGTCTACAGCCACAAATATTGCAAACTTGCGTAACTTTAATTGTTAAATTACTTTTATTTCTCAAATTATCAAATTCGAACGACTGAACTTATATATTTATTTAGAAATCACTTCAATAATTATTCAAAAATAAAAATAAAAACCTCAATTTTCCACTATATTGTAAGAAACACCTATAAAAGCTGTTTTTCATATGAAACAAGTTTATGGATTGTCGGGTCTTTCTTCGTTTTAATAACGAGAATGAATAACTAGAAGTTAAATTAACTATGACGTTTTTTAACTAGACGTTAAAAAACAATTTTTATAGTTATACACTAAAACCCGCGAATAAGAATAAATTAGAATGCGATAATTTGATTATTTTTGTTTTGAAAATTATCAAAACTTTTCAGCCAAATGAACCAAAGTTATGACTGAAACCAAACCACCTGATCGATAATTGAAATACAGATGATATACAGTATAATTAAGTCAAACTTGCTTTAAAATACGCTTACTAGGAAACAAGTTAAGATAACATTTTAAACTGATCCAGCTTGTTGCCACACAACCTTTACCGATTAGTATAATATGGCTCTACATTTTAGCAATGCCGCTCTGCGTTGTAAAAAAGGGTAATAATTTAACGTTGATAACAAGATTATGAAGTTCGCTCACAAACCTCACACAGAAAAATATTGCGTGTCAATATCGCGCTTAACAGTTGAACGTGGAGATATTTTTACAAACTCAAGAATATTAAGAAACACGCCACGATCATAAGGATTATAGAAGTTTCCAGATGCATCTTTCAAATATAGATATCTTGCTTTGTTGATGCGCTCATTTGTTGTTATGTTAACGGCAGCTTGGTATATCTAAATAATAGTTGACTATTAAATAAAGAAATTCCGATTAAAGTATTAAAGGTAAGTCAATAAAAATATTCAACAAGTATAGATAATGGAAAACTACTTACAGTAACACCCATCATAGACAGAATAAATGGTGCAAATACACCGTAGATAATGAGAAACAGAAGTCTGATAATAGTCCAACCAAAAGCAACAACTATTTGCGAGGCCATATAAATAGCTAGCCACATATTAAAAGATGTACTCATAAGGAAAAGCAAAAATTGAACTCTGAAAAAAAGAAACAAAAATGTATCGTTAAAGAAAAAAAATCGTTAAAAAAAATCTCAAAACGTATGAGCGCAATTGTGAAATTTAAATTCGATGAATAAATATGAAAATATATAAGAAATTAGAGTTAAATGAAACGCCATATAAGAAAATAGAGTTAAAACGTCGTCTGCTTTTTTTTCTTCTTTTTGTTCATTTATTTAACCATAAAATATGAAAAATATACAATAACATATTATAAACTCGCATTAATAAGGTTAGGCGTCACTCCTACAGATAAAAACTAGCCAATGGAGTGACACCTAAAAACAAACACAACGTAGAAAAAAAAAAAAAAAAAAAAAAAAAAAAAAAAAAAAAAAAAAAAAAGAAGACAATAAACAAAGAATCACAAAAACAAGAGAGAGAAAAAAAAATAACAAAAAAAAATAATAATCTGAATAAATAAACAATAATAACAAATATAAACAAAAATAACAAATAATAACTTGATATGATAACTTTAATAAAAACTACAACTAATGATAAAAACTATGGTAAAAATAATTATAGTAAAATTTATAACTATGACAGAATATATACTATATAATAAAAATTTCTTAATTTTCAATTGAAAATAAGAATGTTGGTAATAAAAGAATAACTAGTTAAAATCTTTTTTTTATAAATGGTATTCATTGGTTCCAGTGAAAAATTACATTGATGTTTTATAGAGACATATTTGATAGTGTTAAAAAAGGAAGTGTGCAAATTAACATTTTAAGTATTTCGAGTGTAATAATTGTGTGTATTACTTGTTTTAATAAAAAAATTATTAAACTAATTTGGTAATTTATTTTGAAGATAATCAAACACAGAGACAATTAAAAAGCTTCACAAGATCTTGAAATTATAGAATTTTTATTTCAGAAAATCTATTAGGGTTATTAGATCGTAAAGAAGATAATGTCATAATTCTTATGGAAGTGCGTTGTAAACTGTTTGTACGATTTAATAGAAAACTACCTTTTAGACCCCAAACAGTGCAACAATAGCTTAGATAGGAGAAGAAGGAATAGTAAATTGATATTAGAATATGTTGGGGAACATAGTATCGTAATAATGACGACATACTATTGGCACGTGAGTTTTTTAATTAACTGAATTAGTTGATTGTACCATGAAATTTTTTTTTTCTCTCTTGTTTTTATATTGTTATGTTAGTTTATGCTTACTGGTATAAAACTCCTCCATCTGAAAAATTAGAAATTGTTTAAAAAAAAAGTACAAATAAAAAAAAAAAGAAGTAAAATTCACCTATTATTTGGTCCAATGCAATTGTTGACAAAGTTACAATGATGATCCATTTCATAAACGCAACGATCACATAATCTACAATGTTTTGCTCTTAAAGGGCGGACTAAACGACATGTATGGCATAATCTTGCCAGTGGATTCGAAGAAGCGTTTTCTACTTCCCATTCTTTGTGAAGAGAAACCTAATAGATTTGTGAAATTAAAAAAAGTCACCACATCCAACTTTATGAGAAAATAAATGTAAGATAATTTTCTTTTTAAAAGTTTTTACTTTTTTCAAAGCCAAATCATATTCATCGGAATGCTGAGGGAGAAAGCCAGGATCAACATTAGCTGTTCGTATGAAAAAATACCACATTGGTATGTTGCAAATTAGAAAAACAATGTTCAAAATAGGAATATGTTCGGCTAAAAAATTTATCTAATAAAAAAATTTTTAGTTATTATAAACAACCCATTTTTACTTAAAAAAAAAAAATTATTGGGGGAGTAATAGTAAATAGGTTTATTAGGTTTAAATTGAGGGGTAAGGTTTATATAAAGGGAAAATGTTTAAATAGGGTCCCACATAAGAACATGCATGTTTTATCACATTTAAAGCAAATTTTGCTTATCTGGGAATATTGCCAACTAATTATATTACAAGTTTTTGTGTATTTTTAAACTAAATTAAAACTTATCAACAGAATTCATATTTCATCAAAAAATAGTTTTGCGGTTTGAATTAGTGACCTATTAAATTTACATCTCCTCAATTGGGTAGAGGCTATTTAAATAGCAAAAATTTTGCTTGGAAAAAAATAAAATATTTAAAAACACATTAATAAACTCAAATAGCCTATATAATGCTTTCATAAAAGGTTATTTTTAATTCTTTCAGATGTAGCTGACTTCAAAAAGAGTGTATTCCATCTTTTACATTCCAATTTTTACAGTCCATCAATTTGTTAAAAAAAAAAATTTTTTTTAAAAAAAGAGACAGCACTTAGGGCGTTTGAGGCAAAGTTTAAAATGAAGACATTTATGGGCGTTTGAGGCAAAGTTTAAAAGGGGACATTTTTTCAAAATATTTTGAAAAAATGTCCTCTGACCTGGACTCAAACAAAATAAATTTGTCTATATTTACTAGAAATCATTGTCGATTTTTTAAGTATAGATTTAAAAGAATGATTACAAAAACTTTAAAAAAATTTTAATTTTTTTACTTTACGTTGAAAGATATTTTCTGCGTAGAATATCTGTGGCCTTAAAACCATTTTATATAAATCAAGATTTTCGAAATTCTGAGATGTACTAAAATATTGTTCAGAATTTTATGCTTTTGACATAATTTTATGCTTTTGACATAATTCTATGCTTTTATAATTGAGATATTATAACAGGGATATGAAGAAGTGTAACAAAAAATTTTGTTAATAGACAAAGTAACAGAGATTTCATTTAGGGATAGGGTACCAAAAAAGACAGAGTTTTTGATAAGAGTAACAGAGTTTTCATTAAGCAACAGAAAGTTTTTATTAAGAAATATAAATTTTGATAAATTAATGATAAAGAAAAATTAATTTTGATAAATTCATATTAGACAAGTAGCATAAAAATGGTAACATTCCATGTAAGTCAGCAAAAAGCACAAAGTTCTAATGGAAATATATGGTATGTTGTCAGTTGTTCCATCAAATTATAAAGCAAAGGTCAGAGAAAGAAAGTCGAGAAACAAAAAGATCCATCAAGTTTAAAACTTGATCAAAAAGTTTTTAGAGAGATTAATCAAAGTACTTTGTTCGAGATATCACAAAATCTGGTGTTACTAAGTTAATGAGATACATTATGATGGATAATTAAACTAAATGCTAACTCGACTAGATACTCCCAAAACCAACAATTTTATACAAAAACAACAATCAAAAAATTTACATTTGAAATGTCAGATGCATAAGAAAAGAAAAACTTCAGACGACATCAATTAATTCTGCTCTATTTGGAGTGTAGCACAATAGTGTACCTTAGTGTAACTTAAGAGGAAATTTTCTCTAAAGTTACACTAAGGGTTTTTTTATTTTTGAAAAAAAAATCATGTTTTTTTTTTTATCACACTATGCATTTCAATTTTTATTTGTAATGCATACCGTTTAACTAACTATTTTTAACAAAGTAAACATGTAACTAAACTATTCAACTAAATTAAATATAATTTCAATATTTTTATGATATATTGAAGATTAACATATAAATAAATATAAAATATATATATATATAAATTCAACTTACATGATAAATGTATAATGGATAGCTAAAGGCTAACATCAATGATATAAAAAAGAACAAGTGGCGCCTCTGACCAATATGTTCACAGATTTTTTTGCTATAAAAAAATGCAATAAAAATGCAATAATTAAATCTTATTTTTTGCATTTAATTTCAATTTAGTTAGATTTTAGTTTTATATAAAATTACAAACCAAAAGCTGCAATATGTATTCACTTTCATCTGTTTTTCAAGGTAAAAAATAATATCTTTATAGTTTCTTCCCTTTGCCAAGTCAAGTGGTGTTTTATTATTTGAATCACGTAACTCAAGCTCACAACCCTGTAACAAAATGGTAGTTAATAGAACCCTGTTATATGTTATTGTTACCTGATAAAACTGTTACCGAAATATGATCTGACATACTACAGGCCTAATAATTGCGTCAAAAAAAAAACCTAGAGGTTTTAAAGTTTTTTTACACCTAAATTTAATATTTTAAAAACTATATTTTAACACTTGCTTTTAACTAGAGTAATAAAATAGGCATCATTCAAAGAGGTGCGCCTTAACAAACCTAACATCTATGCCATACCCTATATGCGAATGCTGTATTTTTACTATTTGATTTTGCTTGCTTGTATCATAAAACCAAGTAAAAAATAACTGGATTACTGATAAGATGAAATTCATATTTTTCATGATGACAACAAAAACATTGTAAAGTAAAGTGAGACTGAACCTCTTGCTATCACTTTAAATAAGAACTTGGAGTTCAAAACTAATAGTTCCTGTACCTGCATTAGTTTTTTAGTATGAAAAAGTTTGCACCATTAAACTTCCAAAATTGAATGTTTCATTCACATCTAAACCAGTTGAGAGGAAAAATGTTTAAACTTGCTTTTGAGTTTAATGTGACAAAACGATAATTGTTCTTGTCAACATTTATAAAATATTTGGAAAGTTATCAGATCTTTGCATACTGATGTACTCTTGTAAGAGCATCTGTATCTTCTGTTGGTTATAACAGATTGACATTTTTCCTTTAAAAAAATTAAAATAAAAAATGCAAAAACAAAAATAGCGGTAAAAAGAAAAAAGAGAGAAAACCTCAACAAAGAATGAATTTTCAGCCATATGTATGTCTTTTCAGGGGAGTCCATAACTGTTCTATAGGGAAAAATGTTCAGTAAACGATAGCGAGAATCTGGTGGAACTTATTCTATCAAGGTTTAACAAGTGCATTAAAAAGTTATTATTAAAAAAATCCTAAATAATACTTAATCTAGAAGTAGAATTTGATTATTTTAATGTAAAGCCTGGTCATTAATAATATCATTATATTATAAAATCTATAAAAACTTGCATAATGATTATGCATATCAATCATACAAAAAACTTGAATAGTTATGTTGGTAATCATACTTATTTTGAAAAAACCTATCAAAAAAATATATCTAAAAAAGAAATAGTTTTGAAAGAAACCTATTGAAATGATATTTAACCATTTGTTTCAAAACAACAACAAAAGGAATAACTTAAAAATATTTGTCTCAAAACAGAGTTTTAAGATTTCTTTTGAAAAGCTGTTTAAGAAAAAAGGCTAAAAATGTGAAAATGGGAATAAATTCAAAAAGCCAGTTAAGAGAGATGTAAACATTGCAGCTCAAAGGCTTTCAGTGGAGTGCCCATACATAAACTGATAAATGCTTGTCAGTAGCTCCGCAGAACAACCATTTTGTTAATTTTTAAACATTTTGTTACTTTCAAAAGTGTGTTTATTAATAAAACTATAATTTGATCTATGAAGATTTTATTCCTTGCAACTATTTAAAAGAAAACTTTAAAAAGCATATAAGTAGTGTACACTTCGTTAAATAATGAGTACACTGTGGTGCGTTATATAATTTTACTAAACTTAATAAAAAGAAGCAAACATGTCAATTTAATATTTCTAAGTGCAATTGTACTGTTTTTTTAAACATTGTTGCTGCATTTTGAAGCATGTTTCTTCTCAATTTAAAATTAGTTTTAAAATTACATACCTCAATTCCAAATGCTAATGTATCATTTTTTAAACCTTATAGTCACATTTTAAACCACGTGAATGGGCAGTTAAATCATTAACAACATTGATTCTCTTTTGTTTTCCATTAACAAAATAAATTTTTATTTTTACTTTGTAAACAAAATTAAAAAAATAAAAAACATTCTTAAGATGCACATGAAAAATTATTATTAGAATGCAATTAATGATGCACACGGAAATTTTTTTTAAAAAAAAAAAGAAGCATAATGAAAAATGTTTAAAACATTAAAAACATGTTTTAAACATTCAGCTAAATTAAACTTCATTGAAGAGAAATGACACGAAACAGATATCAACTACGACCAAAAATGACGATCTTTAAAAGTATTTACAGTTATCTATTTACCAATATCTCTTTGAAACTAAAGTTACAATATTTTTTAACATTATGCTTCACTTTTTTTATTAATTAATTTACTTTTAATTAAACTGTTTCTTATTAGACATATTTTAGTAGTCAGACGTTTAAATTTTTTTTTCAGTACTTTCACCTAAGAAAAATACCAATAAAAGACTGTTATACCGGACGCTGATTAGCATAGCCAACAACTCAAATGAAAAATAAAAACTATTTCAGTTCCCTAGAGGGCGACTGGGAAAAAACCAGAGGGTACACCTCTGCCAATTAAACTAAGAACACCCCTGCTATTTAAATTAAAGAACATACAAATTTTTATTTTGAATAATGCTTGCACAGTTGCAGCTCAAAAAAATTCAAAATTCTTTTTGTATTTTCAAATCAATTCCTTTTTTATTTTGCATTTCAAAATAATTCCACCTTTCTAGGTTTTGAAACTATTCCGATTATGATACTTTTAAATTTATTCCATGGTTTTGAACTCTTCGTAATTCTTGATTACGATTTTTTGTAAATGGTTTACAAACCATCGTAATCAAGAATTATGATGATTTTGAACTCTTTGTAATTCTTGATTACAATTTTTTGAAATTATTTCTTTTTGCGATTTTGAAACAGGTACTGCCTAAAACCAGGTACCCAGTTATGTATAATTTTCTGGCTATTTTAGTTCATTTTGTGGCATAAAACCATAAATGTCCTCATGTACACATCAAATGTCCTCATGTACACATCAACACAATAAGTTAACGTTTTTATCTCATAATTAAAATTATTTATTTATTTTTTTTTAATTAGCTTCCAACAAGGTTGCAAGCAACCACTAATTAGTGTTGGAAGTTACTGGAAGAGAAAAGATGAAGATTGTAGAGCAAGATAACGATTGACAGACGACTTAAAATATTGCAAATTATATGAATCAGGAAAGCAAGATGAAGGAAGCGAATTCCAAAGAACTGATGTTCGAGGGAAAAAACTAGACAAATAAGAGTTTTTGGAGCACTAAGGAACAGTAACAGAAAAAGGATGAGACTTAATTGAATGACGAGTAACACGAGAGTGAATTTTAGTAGATGGCACAAAAAACGCTAGCTCTTTGGTGCAGTGCCCATTATAGTATTTTTTGAAAAGAGAAAAAGAAGCAACATTACGACAATGTGACAAAGGTTAAAGGTTGGCTGCAAGAGCAGGTCCAACTATGTTTACAATGCGTTTTTGCACCTTGTCTAAAAGAGAAAGGGCATCATTAGAAGATCCGCCCCAGATATGGCAACAGTATTCCATACAAGGCCGGATTTGAGATTTATAGAGATAGAGAATAGAATCCAGAGTGAGAAAGTGACGAGCTCGATAAAGAGAAGCAACTTTAGCAGATGCTAATTTTGCAACGGATTTGATATAAAGTTTCCAAGAAAGATCAGAAGTAAGAGTTAATCCTAGAAGATGAAGGGTAGGAGACTCATCAAGTACATTACCGTTCATAAATATAGGAAGGTCTAAATTATTGCGATAACGATTGGCCGAAAAAAATTGAGTTTTATCTGAATTAAAGTTCACCAGCCACTGCGAGCCCCATGCTGTAGCAGAAGTGAGATCCTTTTCGAGCTCAGATGCCCCCTGCAAGCAATCAGAGGGAGTTGGCTTCTTATCGTGACAAGAACAAATGGTAGTATCATCAGCGAACAATGCCACCTTAGATGTGAGAATATCTGGAAGATCGTTAATGTAAATTAAAAAGAGTATAGGGCCAAGGATTGAACCTTGGGGAACCCCTGAGGTTACAGAATAAGAAGAAGAGTGCTGTCCATCAATGACAACTTTTATACTACGATTGGAAAGGAAAGATTCAATAATCTTAAAGATGTTTCCAGATACACCATAAGAAGAAAGCTTATGGAGGAGACCAGCATGCCAAACTTTATCAAACGCTTTAGAAATGTCAAGAGCAATGGCCTTAACCTCTCCACCTTTATCTAATGCGCGATAAAACCTATCGGTTATTACTGATAGCAAATCAGCCGTAGAACGAGAAGATCGAAATCCATACTGATAATCAGAAAGTAGGTTATGAGATTCGAGATTTGAGATTAAGTGTTTGTTAATTAAAGATTCAAAAACCTTGCTTATGAAAGGAAGAAGACTAATGGGACGGTAGTTAGATGAGTCAGATCGCTCTACAGAATTTTTAAAAATAGGGATAACAGATGCTGCTTTCCAGCAGGCTGGAAAACAAGACTCTGATAAGCACTTGTTGAATAGTTTTGAAAAGATAGACGACAGCTCAGGAAAACACTTCTGCAAGACTATAACAGGTATGTTGTCCGGGCCGCAAGCTGTAGAAGAGTCTAAGCGGGAAATCACTTTAGATACAAAAGCTGGAGTGATACGAATGTCGAGCAATGGATCAACCTGTTTGACGGGTATATCAGGTAAAACGCAACTAGTGGCATCAAGAGATGATATTGATGAAAAGTTCTTGGCAAACAATTCAGCTTTGTCTTTAGATGAGGTGACAAAGTCTGAACCGTACAAAAAAGGTGGAATTACAGACTTGCCCTTATTATTGATACTATTAAAGATTCTCCAGAAGTCACGAGAGCCTAATTTTGGTGATGAAATACGAGATTTCATGATCTGAGAATAGCGGGTTTTGGCATTAGACAAAACCTTTTTACAATGGTTCCTAGCAGTAATAAAGAGACATCTGTTTTCTGGAGAATTGTTTTGCTGATAGATATGAAAGTAATGGTTTCGATTAGCAATTGCAGCAGCACAATGTGAGGAAAACCATGGAGAAGAGTGAGGCTTGACCTGGAATCGTCGAGAGGGAATAAAGGATTCCATGCCAGCCTGAATCCACGAAGTTATGTAAGAAGCACATTTGTCAACAGAGAG